TAATAATATAATGCTAAATATTTATTATTTTACATATATATATATTATTTTTCATACAAAACTACAATTTATTTCCTATTGAAACTTATACTTATTTATGAATATCTTGAAAAGTAATTAAATTATATAATAACTAATATCACAGAACAAAAATATTTCTTTATAATAGAAAACAGTCAAAGGAACATAATAGGTTATGTCATATTATAGTACAATCAGTTTTCGTTTCTAGCATGGATTATGAATGTTTCAGAGGCTCCCAAAATAATTGGCCCTTTCTAGGGCCAAAAAATAATCAGCCCTTCTCTGGTTGCTACATGGTATCAAAAATCTGGTTGGTACATGACGATGCTTGAATAAAGTACAATTTTCTGTGTAATCTAGACTCACAACTAACACAATCATTCCTTATATTTCTAGCTTCTTTGAATAGTGTGGATCAAAATTTCAATTAAACGTTTTGGTATTGTTTTATATAGTTTTCTAATCTTTTTTGCCGGTAAATTGTTCCAGCCTTCAATAATTATTGACTCTAATTCTTTAAAACCCTAAGTTTGAGAATTTTTTGTAAATAATTACTAAATAAAATATTTAGTCTTTCTAAGAGAATATAAATTTAAATTTTAGCTGTTATTCAAATTTTTAAAAGTAAGAATCGTACAAAATTGCGAAGTTATTCATTGTTTTCAAACAATGTTTTTTCAATGTTTTCAAACAAATTTTGTTGATTCATAAACTAAAAACTATTATCTAAAATGTAGCATACACATTTTCGAAAATTTGAATAATCGTAGAAATGACCACCTTTTCAAGCGTTCGCAAATATTCTGCACGATGTAGTTAAGAATCCTATGAGGTAACAGTACAAGTCGAATATCGCGCCGAGTGATCTAGATGGAGCGCCAAGCAGACGGATGCGCGGTTAGAGTGAGATCATAAGCATGATAAAGTGAGACGGGCTAGGTTTTTCATCCGTGTGAAGTATGGACACTCGTATATAAGCTGCTGGATTCGTTCTGTCTCTCTCGATTATCTTCCGTTCTCTTTCTAAAGCAACTGCGCGAAGCGGAGCCGAAATTTAATAAGCGCGCGTAATTTAACACCAATAATACACACGCGCAACGCTGAAGCTGAAGCTATAAATCTACCAATGCACCTTTATTATTCTATAGAGTGGCGTTCTCACAAGCTGAGATTCGTCTCTCTACCGTTGAGTTCCTGAGATAGAATTTCTTCAAATTGTACAGCACTGAAGTGGATGTGAAATAGGATAAGTAGGTTCAGGCTCAGCTAATTATTGCATTGACCTGAATGAAAGATGTTTATTTGATCGAAATATGCCCTACTTGCTTCGATACACTTTTCCCAATGAGCTTTTAATGAATATGCATGTAAATGCCATTTTGAAAGAAGTTCTGGTTTTTTGTATGAATAAACTCGGCTATGGGGTTTTAATGTACTATGTATTGGCGATAGATCGGGTGACTAGGTTGGATATTGAAAAATGTCATACTTCAATTCATTTAATTCTTAAACTGTTTCTTGCGACATAATATAGAATTTTTAAAGAATTAAATAAGACTGTGAGAGGTGTCATACAATAAACAACAATATAACATAAGTAGGGAGACAAACACATGCAGGTCATGAAAACTAGCACACCGACGGCCGATAGATTCTACATATCGTAATCGTAACGTAACCATGACAACGGCTTACAAAACACTGCATATGTATGTACCTACGTACATACATATATATATAATACGCTCATGTACTACAAACATTGTCATTTTAATAAATAAATTCAAAGAAAATATGTATGAACAAGTAATTATGTTTGTTTTCATTGCATCTTCTTCTAATTAGAACATCATGTTTGAGTAAATGTGTACATAATATTTGATTGTTTATTTTGTGCACTACACCACTTGTAGTTGACGAAATTTTAGTAAGAACACTAACTCTAAATATGGACAGATATGTGATCATCGAAAAAATTGGTGAAGGTGCTCAGGGAATAGTTTTGAAAGCATGTGATACACTAGAAGATAAAAATGTAGCATTAAAGAAATTGTTTTTAAAAAATGTTGAAAATAGTATATCGACGTCTATTATGCGTGAAATGAAAATTTTACAACAATTAAAACATCATAATGTATGACGGTTGTTCTAGTTTTTAATGCATTAACTTTTCTTCTAATATATTTACCACTGTTTATACTTTCCAATTACATACAGAAACATTACTTTGTAGATTATAAAACTGCTAGATGCTTTTCCTGTTGGCCTAGATTTTATAATGGTGT